CCATTCCAAATATTACAAACTCGGATCAAAAAATAAAAAGATGAAGAACAACGAAAGAATTCTGGGGGACAGCAACGACAACAACAACAAAAACACGTTTCCTCTGCATACAAAAAAGAAAAGAAAAGACAAGAAAAAAATTAAGGATTAATATTTAAAAAAACAAGCATTTTTCTCCTCCCACTCTTTCCATCCCCCCCCCTTCACCCCTCCCTCGCCCCCTCCCTCTCCTTCCCGAAATGTCTGAACCGCTCAAGTATCGTTTAGCTGATCTTAAACGACCGCATATAACATGCCACGGGGATTAGGCGCAACAGTTACTTGATAACGTAATAACAGCTGCGATACGGTGATTGGAGGGTGGGGTGGGGGGGTCGGGGGGTAAGCTGTCTCGTTTAGAGTAAGGGGTGGATGAAAAAAAAAATAATAAAAAATCGGGGAAAGATGAGAATATGTTTTTTTTTCTCTCTCTCCTTCAGGTCAAAAATAACTGATCGACACGGTTTTGTGGGGCAACTCTCCTTCCTCCTTCTCTCTTTCTCTCCCTTTCCTTCCTCTTTCTCCATCCCCTTCCTCATCTTCCTCGCTTCCTCTCTCCCCGTCATCCTCCTCCTCTCCCTCCTCTTCCCCACCTCCTTCTTCTCTCCCCCCCCCACCCCCCAAAGTCATTAGGGTCGTGTTTATAACAAGGTATAACGACGGTTAGAAAGTATAATGAGCAGAGCATAAGAGTTTGGATTCCAATCGTGTAATTTATGCATTAAAGGGATTGAAAACTTGGAAGTATTACCTCGCATGTGTGGGCTAGGAAACGGGGGGGGGGGGGGTTGAGGGGAAGGAGGGGAGGGTGATGAGCGGGGGTAGGGAGGGGTGCGGGGTGGGTGGGTGTTGAGCAGCTGAAGTCCATTAATATTTTTGTTCAGGTTTAATTAATCTATCTTCTATCATTCATTTGTTCGTGTAGACTATAGTGTATTTTTATCTCCGCCAAGAAGATTGCTTTTTTGTATCTTACATAATCGAGTTAATGTTTTTTTTTTGTTTTTGTTTTTTTGTAAGAGAGATAAAGACTCGAAGCTGCTTATATAAAGGATTACTTAGTGTGTAACTGTTTACTACAATCAAGGCCCGTTACGAGCAGTCACACGCACACACACATAAAATAAATACATATTAAGTGGATCATTGTTGTTATTGTTATTATATGTATGTATGTATGCATGTATATATGTATGTATGCACATTTGCGCGCGCACGCACACACATTGATACATTCGTGTGTGTGTGTGTGTATACATATATATATACACACGCACACTTAAACATATACATTATATATATATATATATATATATATATATATATATATATATATATATATATATATATGTATACATATATATATCATGTGGACACACACACAGATATATCTATTTATATCTATCTATCTATATATATACATGTATATAGTTATACATATATACATATATATATATATATATATATATATATATATATATATATATATATATATACATATATATATATATATATATATATATATATATATATATATATATATATATATATATATATATATATATATATATATATATATAAATGCATACATCCGTACGGAAAGGTAAAATATAAATGAAAAAAAACAAAAAAACTTAACAATGAAAAAAGAGTAAACGGCGATCGAGGTTAGTGAGTCGGCGAAGTTTCATACCTTGAGTGCTTCGCCTCATAAAAGGAAACTGGATGATGCAGCAGGGAAATGTAAATAAGAGGTTATCATATATTAAAGCATATATCCGCATTTTCTGCCGAGGGATAGGCCTAACGAATCGATTTATAAAGATCGCGCTCTCAGACAGACATACACACACACACACACGTATATATGTGTGTGTGTGTGTGTGTGTGTGTGTGTGTGTGTGTGTGTGTGTGCCTGTTTGTGTATATATATATATATATTTGTATATATGTATATGAACACACACACACACACACACACACACACACACACACACATATATATATATGTATATATATATATATATATATATATATATATATATATATATATATATATATATATATATGTATATATATATATATATATATATATATATATATATATATATATATATATACATATACACACACACACACACACACACACAGACACACACACACACACACACACACACACACACACACACATACACATATATATATATATATATATATATATATATATATATATATATATATGTGTGTGTGTGTGTGTGTGTGTGTGTGTGTGTGTGTGTGTGTGTGTGTGTGTGTATGCATGTATATATGTATAAGAATACACACACACACACACACACAAGCACACACACACACATACGTGTATTCATATGCATACACACACACACACATAAACATATACCCACTAGTTCCCAGTATGTGTATATGTGTGGGAATCTATATTTGTATCTACATGCTTTCTGCATACCTGCATGAAATAATGGTTATATATTTTGTGATAAAACATCCTACCCGCTTTTTCTTTCTTGTTTTAGAGAAAGTATATAAGGAGAATTTTGTATATATACGTATGCTATCGTTCTGTTATTCACATTTCTAAACTTTATGGTTTCAAAATTATTTTAGATATTTATATAAGGTTAAACCGATATATGGATGATTTTCCGACTTTTGTTTTGGGTTGTGTTTGGTTTTGTTTCTGTGTTGTGTACTTGTTTATCTATTTCTTCGTTATTTTAAGGGAAATCTGGTGATAAGAGACAATACTCAAACAATTACAAATAACAAACAAAAAGACAAACACTCAGACACACAAACAACACATAAACACTCAGACATAAATTGACATACACACTCGTACACAAACAAGCACACACACTCTTTCTCTCTCTCTCTTTCTTATTCTCTCTTTCTCTTCCTCCCGCCCTCCCTCCCTCCCTATCTCTCTCTCTACCTCCCTTCCCCCCTTATCTCTCTCTCTCTCTCTCTCTCTCTCTCTCACACTCACTCACTCACTCTCTCTCTCTCTCTCTCTCTCTCTCTCTCTCTCTCTCTCTCTCTCTCTCTCTCTCTCTCTCTCTCTCTCTCTCTTTCACTTCCTCCCTCCCTCCATATCTCTCTCTCTCTCTCCCTTCCGCTCTCTCTCTCTCTATACATATATATATATATATATATATATATATATATATATATATATATATATATATATATATATATATATATATATATCTTTCTATTCCTCTCTCCCTCCCTTCACCTCCTTCCCTTCCTCTCTCTCTCTCTCTCTCTCTCTCTCTCTCTCTCTCTCTCTCTCTCTCTCTCTCTCTCTCTCTCTCTCTCTCTCTCTCTCTCTCTCTCTCTCTCTAAAGCACGCAATAGTCCTTCTTCGCTCATAGCTCCTTATTCCTCATTTCTCTTCATTTCTTCTGTCCCGAAGAGAGATGATATTAACCCCCGTAGACTTGAGAATGAGATGGCATGGGGGAATTTAACAAGGGAGAAAGGGGAATTGAGAGAGAGAGAGAGAGAGAGAGAGAGAGAGAGAGAGAGAGAGAGAGAGAGAGAGAGAGAGAGAGAGAGAGAGAGAGAGAGAGAGAGAGAGAGAGAGAGAGAGAGTAATGTAGATAGATATGTATATGCAGGTAGATAGATAGATAGATAGATAGATAGATAGATAAATAGGTAAATAGATAGATAGATATGTATATGCAGGTAGATAGATAGATAGATAGATAGATAAATAGGTAAATAGATAGATAGATAGATAGATAGATAGACAGATAGACAGATAGAGGAGATAGATGGATAGATAGATAGATAGATAGGTAGACAGATAGAGAGATAGAGAGATAGAGAGATAGAGAGAAAGAGAGAAAGAGAGAGAGAGAGAGAGAGAGAGAGAGAGAGAGAGAGAGAGAGAGAGAGAGAGAGAGAGAGAGAGAGAGAGAGAGAGAGAGAGAGGGTGAGAAAGAAAGAGAGAGAGAGAGAGAGAGAGAGAGAGAGAGAGAGAGAGAGAGAGAGAGAGAGAGAGAGAGAGAGAGAGAGAGAGATAGGTGGATAGATAGATAGATATATAGATAGAGATAAAGAGAGAGAAAGAGATAGATGGATAGATAGGCAGAGATGTAGATAGATAAATTGATAGATAGATTGATAGATAGATAGATAGATAGATAGATAGATAGATAGATAGAGAGAGAGAGAGAGAGAGAGAGAGAGAGAGAGAGAGAGAGAGAGAGAGAGAGAGAAGGTAAATGAGATAAAGTAGAGGTTTTTTACATACAAGGAAAACACATTTTGAAGGACAAAATAGACGGAATTCCTTTTTACGAAGCTTTACTATGCTGTCTTGTTTACTGTCTTGAATGAATATCTATTTATGCATTAATACATCTACTGATAATGATGATGATAATGAAACCAACTACTGCGAAAGAGGAATTTGATAGCGCCTCTACCTCTGATAAAAAAAGGTGTAATCTTTATCACTATTTGAGCTGGTATTTTGGACTTAATTAAAATCATAATCACAACAGCAATGATTATAACGATGATAATAACAACGACAATAGCAAAAGAGGATGATACCAATGGTAATAATGGCAGTAATGATAATAATAAGGATAGTGATACTGAGGGCAATACCAACGGCAATGATAAAAATGCAGTGATATATGCTAACAGGGGCAATAATATCAATGTTAATAAAGATAATGCTGATAAAGCGTTAATTGTATAATGATGAGGATAGTGATAATGACAATATTGATACAGCAAATAAAAGCAATTAAAGAATTGTAATAGGTGACAGTAATGATGAAAATTATTATGATTAGAGAGGCAATAAAAAATGCTGCGTAACTCTATCCAGATATTCAATATTTGTATGAACAATTACCAGGATTCCATTAAACCTAATATTTCGCAATACTATCTGTAATGAATTCACAATATGCATGAAT